TTATCACATCCGTGAAACGTTGGTTCAATCAAGCCAAAGACCAGTGATAATTGCAAGAGGACAACGACCCTAAACATCGAAGTCGCGTCTGTACTAGATTGGAAAGAGGAAAACGCTATTACCGTACTACCTTGGCCATTGCAGTTTCCTGATATAAACCCAATAGAAAATGTGTGATCCATGATGAAGTATTAGATTATCCCAAAAGTTTCCTCCATTTCATTAATAGCTAATAAATACACAATATTTTATGTCTAATGTTACATTATTGAATTGTGTACGATTCATTTTGCTCCATTACTGTTACAACATTAACATCTAAGAAATTAGGATGTCTATTTATATAAACACTGCTACACAAAATAACTGTGTGCAAGTCACGAAAGAAACTTTTGGGACAACCTAATATAAACCGAGGGGAAGGTGTATCGTCAAAATAAAAACACTTGTTCATCATATTCGAAAGATATGAAGGTCGTTACCAGTATCTTACGCCGAAAAATGAGTAAAAAGCATACCGAGATGGTGCCACGCTATAATTGCTAATGGAGGAGATTGGATCTCTTACTAGGTAAATGCGTATTAGTGTTATAGATGTAGATTTGACCCATATAACATTTTGTACAAAAATATAAATATTAACAGAAATATAGCCGACACGCTCTTGTGAGACAGACTGTACTTCTTCCCTTTAGAATTAACAGAATATTTACCTGAAAATCCCATTGGTTCACGTTTTGGAAAGTCGCCTTCAGAGCAATCCCAGTTGGTCCTTTGGGTACGCAGGTTGCAAAAATTTGTTCCTTCGGTATCACGTGGGCAGTGTTCAACACATGAACGAACCTTGTGTTCAGCTCGCTCTCGAACGACCCTATCGGAGTCAGGGTTCCAGACGCAAGGACCACACAGCGAGCAGCTTCGGCAATTGGCGAGAAGGTCACGCCAGGATTCATGCAGAAGAGTTTCAACGTACGTGCCCGATGCGATTGTTTCTTCACCGAATGCCAAGTGTCATCTTGTACCTGAAATTCCAAGGAAAAGTTAAAGAAAACTCTCACGCTCCTCTTGTGGATCAATCGATAAAAATCTTGAATTTAAATGCAGTTATCGATCTGGTTATGGGCCACTTGTGAAATAAATACTCGAAGACCGTTTCTCAAGGAGAAATACTTGCTGTAACTGGCTCGATTCATAGTTGAAGAGCTCCTTGTAACTGATAGCACTGTGAAGATTCAGATTAAGAAATCCGAAGTGTTTTTCAGGTGTCTTAAGATAAAGTCCTTTCGGTAACAAAAGATCCTTTCATAACCAGCTATAACCACTAATTGCTATAGATTGAGTAGCAGACTCACGGTTTGATAATCCGTCACTACGGTTTCGATTACGCACGCCCTGAATTCGTCCACGAAGTCTTTAGAAGTGAGTACTTCCAAGGTAAATAGCAGATGCTGGAGGATTAATTTGGTAGAGGCGCAGATGGTTGGTTTTACCGATGACTGACGACCACCTATTCGACTGTCCTCCTTCGCCTTGATACTGTCAGCAATTGCTGCTTTTCCAGCAGCAACGATCGATGAGTACACTGATTCACCAAGATTGTTCATGTTGAGATACTCCAACAGTTCTCGGCCTGTATAGTAAGGGCTCGACATCTCGATGTTCATGGTGTTGTTCTGTTGGTAAAATGCATTAATTTTATTGGAATCGTGGCATAGGACTCTTGGATAGTTCTGGAATTCTACTCGTTTCTCTTTTAGAAATTAATTATATTAAATTAGGGTCGACTATAAAGCAAAGGCTGTAGTCAAGTAATGGAGGGAACAATTTGCCTCAGTGTAAATGATGTTCATTTTTGTTTATATTTCTGTGAGTCTCAATTGTAATTTGACCAATGACAATCAGATATAAATAGCGGTGATTTTTTTATAGTAATATGACTTTACATATGATTTTAATAAAAATGTCTTAAGACTTTTCTTTTGGAAGAAAAATCGCAAAAACCATCTGGCCGGGAACTTTTGAACGCCACTGTATTCATTGAGACCCAAAAGAATTCTTTGAAAGCAAATATTCCAGACTGATGCTCTGTATATTTTCATCTTTATGCCTACCATTGTATGAAGAATCATGTCCTTGAGGAACTTGATTAGTCGAAAGAGGTACTCTTTCAGGGTTTTGTAAGTGTCACCATCGTAGGTTCTCTGTTCCACGAGAACTTCACACTCGCGTGCAGCAGCTGCGAGATGATCATCTCGAAAACTGACGCTTGCCACGTCTCTGCAAATGTCTTCTATGTTGTGCGCCTCGTCTACGATGATCACCTGACCCTTCAGGTCGAGTTGCATCTGTAATAATCACGACTTAAAAATTTTAAGACCCCTTGAAAGTGCTTCGAAGTCCTTTTAGTAAGTACTCACAGTCTCACGGATATCAGGGTCGACTATGTAATTGTAAGGGCAGAATATAATATCTGCCTCCTCCATTAGACTCCTGGCAGAAAAGTATGGGCACACGCCTATGTCTTTTCCTATGGTAACCAAATCCTCGATGTCCCATGCTGGCCCCAAACCGTGGGCCTTCACTGCGCGGAAATTCGCGAGGGTCTTCTTGTTAGTTTCGTTGTAAAATGGACATCCCTTGTGCTATGGGAAAAATTATTAAGAAATTTGTCGAGGAAGAATAAATTTAATCGAACATAATTTAAAAATAAATTGTTAATTATAATATCGATGAAACCTTTGCAGGATCCAACAGGTCGTTACAAAGTTCTGTCTTATTCTTTGTGGACTCCTGAATGCAAGTGTGCTCTCGACTGCTCAAAATGGTCATCCTGCGAGATTAAGTAATTAATTAACCCTTGTTTAGATAATGTCGACGCGATTCCCGATACGAATCGATATCATGGCTTACTTTTTGTGCGTATAGCACGTCTTCCTTAACTCTCTAATGACTTGTTCGATCTGCTTGTGCGTTCGAGTACCGTAGTATATTTTAGGAGTTTTCATCTCGTCCCTAAAATTGTTACAGTTAATATGGCTTTTTTAGAATTATTAATCTTTAACTATTCAGATGTGTTAAAGTCATTCTCACGATGTTGCAGCCTTGAAGAATTTTTCCATATATCCACATTCTTCGTTGTCGTAAGTATCCATATCACAGTCATCTGAAATAAAATTCCGCCCTTATATCCTCGTACTTCCACTCTAAGTTGCTATGACTATATTCATTTAGCGAAATAAAAATTCGATTTGTAAGTTTCCTTCGGGAATATCTTCATTATTTATTTTCTATAACAGAAATATTGCGCTTTGTTTATTTCTGTTAATTTAGCTGAATAGTTCGCGGCATTCTTTCTGAAGAGGGCCAGACCAAAATGGCCGAGACGTTAAAAATGGCACAAGATCAGCCTCTCGATGATTTAATAAATAAAAGGGCCGCGTCCGATCGCGAAGCAACGCTATTTATTCGCATTTATTCGCCAAGGAAAAATCGTTTCCCCCTGAAAACGAATCGTCGAACGTCTCGCGAAACTCGAGGCACTCCTTTCGAGTTCTTTCACGTCCTCGAGGACTCCATCCGGGGCTGGATCGGCTCCGATCGTCGGAATCCGCTTACGAATAAACATCCATTTCATGCCTTTCATCGTCATTTACGATCATTTCTATTTTTCTGACTCGGTAAATCGCACGAAAGGATTAACCCCCACGGGAAGGGTAGCTTCTTTTATGACTCCTTCACGTTCCTCATCCCGAACACCCCCTCTGCCTCCATCCCACCACCACCACCCTACTTTCGCCCGGTTCTCCTTCGAGTAACTTGGGCCCCTTTTGTCGACGACCGTGAAGAGGGTGGATAAAACCACCCCTATTGATCCCGCTCAATGGATTCTCCCTGGCCTTTCACCTGCCACCGATCCCGGTGTTTTGACATTCCTCTCGCTCGTCCTCGCTCATTTCACGGCATTAATAGAACGCTCGACTCGCTCGCTCGCGGGGAACGGATCCTTTCAACGGCGAAGAACTTCCTAAATAAGCGTAATCCTTTTCAGTCGCGTACCAACGGCAACACAACCCTTAGAAATCGCTCGCGTCGACGATGCAACCGACTATGCGAAACGGGGGAAGAACCCTGTCCCTCTTTTTTCCTCTTTCTTTTCTTTCTTTTTTGGTGTGCTTGTTCCGACGTGTGACAGTGCAACGATAAGAAATTTAAAATACAGTATTAGTGGTAAAGTGAACCAACTCGACGTACTTCTGAAAAATTAGAATGAAACGTATTAGGAAAACATTTTTCGGAAAATACTGTATTTGAAATAGCAAGGGTTACACCATTTTCTATAGCAACAAAATACAGTATTTCGGATACAGTTAACAGAAGCAATTTATTTAAAGAAATGTATGATGCAACATGTTAGAGAAGTACCTATTTCTCAGAGAGTAGCGTACTTGAAATACCAAAGGTTACGCCATTTTCTACAGTACCAAAATACAGTATCTCTACGAGTTCAGGATCTCTATGAATTAAAGCGACATATTCCAGAAAATTTAGGATGCAACGTATTAGAGAAGTGTTCCTGGGAACATACTCTACACGAAATACCAAGGATTACGCCATTTTCTGCCGCGACACCATAATGATGAAATTCCCTCCGACGAAGAGGACGTTCCATCCCCAAAAAATTCAATTAACGCGATATCTCGTCACGCGATAAATCTGAAAAGGTGTCCGACTTTCCATTTTCCGTGCTGCAGAGACCGAAAGGGTGGCTTGGGGTGCGGCGACGAGGCAGCCGTTGCCTCGAGGGTGATTTTGATCGTCGATAGGAGGCACGGTCGCGGCTGGCTGATTGTCGAAGGGGGTGAGAAGAGAGAGGCTAAGACAGGAAAAGCGGGACGGGGCCAATCAGAGCGGGGACTTTGAGGGTGTCGTTGCCAGGCAACGAAACACACCCCAACACCCGAGGGGAGAAAACCCTGAGGGGGTATCATCCAACGGATACAGTCGACGCCGAAAGTTATCGCACCCTTGAGAGACGCCCCCTTTAACATCGCCATCGAGTTACTGCCTCGATGTCCGGACACTTGCGGCTTGTTGTTGCTACTCTCGAGTAGCGGATCGATGATGAAACGTTAGGCCAGTTCGTGACGATATCTCCTCTCCCTATTTTCAAAGGAAAATAGCGCATTTTTTCTTGTTTACTGTCACTGGGAGCGATTCTAAGAGTGGGTTTTATAATTGAGGTTAAGTTCTGTAAGCGAAGTTAGGTTTTACAACAGAATTCATAGCTGTAGGTATATTATATATTTACGTATATTCACGTTCATACTTTCATGTAATCATCGTAGAAACGTTTAATTAAAATGATAATAGTGATTTTGATGACTCTCAAGTCCCGAGGTGGGTGAGTTGAAAGCAATAATGGCCAAGAGAATATCAGTCATTCAAACCAGTGACAACGACGATAAATAGCTATTTTTATGGAACAAATATCCCTCTTGTAATATATTCTGAAAACGAAAGTAAAATACAGACCGATGTTGTGCACGGTCGCGCGCAATTAATTAAACGTTACTGTTTAATTCATTGAATTATCTGGATCAACGACGTGTTATTGTATCGCGTCAGATTCGATTCACTGAAAGTTCCACTGAAGAATCGTCCGATCATTGACTATAGGTAAATACGTTAGAAATATCATTGCAAATGATTATTAATAATAACGTTTGGTAGTAAACTCTTTACAGAAACTCGAGTTACGTCTACTGTAATTAAAATGTAGTAACAGAAACATTTAGAAAACAGCTCCGTCGCTGCAAATAAATACGATGTAAGTAAATACGGCATCAGAGATGAAGCGAACAAATACCCGCAGGAACTTTCTGTGCAACCGTGTATATCAGTCGACATCCATCGAGCAAAAATGGAGGTCAGGATGCGTCTAATAATATTGTTGATTATCGAGAAACGGGAAACGAACCGTTCGTCGTGCGTGGTCTCCTTATCAGCGAACAATTCACGCCGAAAAAAAAAATCAAAAGAAATGACGAGAACAATACATATCGTTTCCCGTGTTTCGTTTCCATTCATCGTGGCGAGTATGAATGAACTCGTTTCACGTCGATCACTCGCTCCGTATCTCCTACCCCCACCCCTTCCCACCCAAGCCGCGTATCGCGGATAAATAAACAGTTGATTCGCGAGCATAAAGCTAACGATTCTCCGATTCTTTTCGTCGTGGAAACGGGGCTATCTCCAGTGGAAGCTAATTAATAGAACGGCCGTAATTTCGCGATTATTTGCGAGGCAGGATGAAGGCGGTATGCACAGGGTGCCTAAAAAAAAAAAATAACTAATAGGAGTTAGTCGCAGTCAGGAAAAGGAAAAACGACATTTCTTTGTGATTTTTTTGTAGTTATTAAATAATAATTTGCGTAAGTAACGATTAAAAGTACATTATAAAGCATGTTTTGAAGAACTAAAAAACATTTTTTTGTTTTAAGAAACGTTTAATTTATATCGTCATAACGATTGATGACGTAGACGATGATTTAAAAGCATAGGTTTGCGGTGAGCAAGATTTGTCTACATTGGTTTACCTGAAAACAAAAACAAAGGTAGATTTCGAAAATAGATTAGTCTAGCGGGTCCCTGAACGAAGGATTTTGAAAAAAATTAATTCAAAACAAGATGGCGTACATATGCAGTTGATTTTCAATTTTTTCACTAAAACTAAGCGATTCAATACAGGATACAAAAAAAGTATACAAGAAAATAAAAAATCCTTCGATCAGGGACCCGTTAGTCTAATATATTTTCTAAATCTACCTTTAGTTTTGTTTTCAGGTGCACCAGTTTGAAGAAATCTTGCTCACCGCAACCAAGCGGTCACCCACGCCATCGCCTGTTATGACGAAATGAATTAACCTTTTTATAAAACAAAAATTCTTTTATAGTTCTTTAAGACATACTTTGTAATATATTTACATTTAATTAATAAAAATTATTATTTAATACCTTAAAAAAAAAAAAAAACACACGAAACTTTCCGTTTTCATTTTCCTAACTGTGACTAACCCCTTAAGGGGGGAGGATCAAGTAGACACCCGCTTTTTTGCGAATTATTTTTGAAGAGTGCGTAATATATATTTATTTACAATTAATTACTTGTTATTTTGTAGCATCTAGATAATCTATATAATTTTTTTTTATGTAAAGATATTCATAAATGACTGAACAACAGCTGTTGAAGTTGGCTTCTCGGATATGCGCCGTGGAACGCACAGATCACTCTAATTATTTGAAATCAAAAATTCACCAATTTTTCGTTAAAATATAGTAACACGCTTTGCATGAACCTAGATTAAAAAAAAAATTTTAAATTTTAAATTTCACGCCACGTTAAAAAAATCTTGTTATTAAAAGAAGGATTAAAAACCTTGTTTATTTCAATGTTTATAAAAACCTTTAGGTTGCTGCAAAGGAGAATAGTTTAACGAATATTTTGTGCTAAGTTTCATAGCGATCGGCTAAGAAATCTCTAAGCTACATTGCACGGCACGCGAAATTTTATGTTTTGAGAAAAATGTGTTTAAAGTTTCCAGATCTAAAAATAGTCCTTCGTGTACCGTTCGGAGCGCATCACTTTAATGACTCTGTAGGTACACTTAGACTTCGAAGCTTTAGCTGAAATGGTCGGAGCACATTCTCCAGATGGTAAACTAATTTTCTAAACAAAAAAAAGGTCAAAATTTTGTATTTAACTTGAACCTCCCCCCTTAAAGGAACGACGCGAAGTTTTAGACAGTGGCTACTCTTAGAGGTCTGTTTAGATACCACATCGTTACGCGAGCAGCACCGCTTCGAAGTTCGGTAAGCGGGCTTTCCTTTCCACGAGTCTTGCATATGTTCGGGGTAAAATCCTTGCATATACTCGGGTACTGTATATAGAATGTTCCGAAAGCAACGGAAGAATATTCTAAGGTTCTCTATTTCCCGTGGCAACTCGAACTCGAGGTTCCTTTTGCCCGTGGCAGTCTTCGAGAATTAGAGATTATTAGCGGGGGACTCGAGGGTATTGATATGGCTTTTGTCTCGGCCGGCCACAAAGTTTCGCGAAGCACCGCAATCCGACCAATTAGGGACGATTTGCTAAATCAAGCCCCAGCCACGAATTAATTGGTACTCGAGTTTCTTTTCCCCGTCTCATCCCTTACCCCCGCCCCCCCCTCCTCCACCCGCTGTCGACGACAACAAATACTCTAAGTCCTCTCGACGAGGAAACCACTCGTCGATACCGCCCCGCTTTT